GTAAGTGTTATCTTGTCTTGCTACCACATGTACCTCTCTTCAGTTAGAAGTCCTCCAGTTGTTTGGTTGTCTTTTGGTAAGCAATGACATTTCTGTGTGTTTGGTCTATGTCAGGGCCTTCTAAACTACTGAGAAAAGGATTAATGATAGGACCCATAAATACTGTAGAAATAGAAACATATTCTAGAAATAGAATACGTAACTTATTTCTTATTAGAAATCAGCTAAAACTAAATTTTTCTCAGATAATCAGAGACACATCTTGATTTTACATTTGAGAATGAATGGTTCAATGGTACAGTATCTTCAGCAAGGGTGAGGAATGTGTAAATTCGCTTTTGGCTGATTTCTGTTTTTATGTTTTAGCTTCTCTCTGAAACACTTTTTGATTTTATCTTGAAAGGTGCTATAGAAATAAAATGTTACTTAGTTACTTTACTGTGGAATGCCTATATTTGTAGTAATGCTGGCTAAAGTTCCATCACTAATCCTGACACACTGGCCGAGGGAAAGGTTGAAGATGAAGAAGAGAACATCAGCTAACTCGCTGGCATGCTCTGAGAGTCCTGCTGCCTTATGGGGGTTGAGCTTCATGAGATTGTTAGGCGAGGTGATGAGGGGCAGGTGGTCCTATGTGTATGTTTCCTCTCTGTGTTATAACTGGAGGTCTCAAAACAGGTGTAGAAGGTATTGAGGTCATTGGACACGCTGTCTATGGAGCTGGTGATGCTGGTAGTGCTTGTGTAGTCTGCGATGTGTTGTAGGCCTAGCCACATGTGCCTGGAGTCAGCAGTAGAATAGAAGCCATCCAGCTTCTCTCTGTATTATTAAGGACGGAGTTGTTTAAGTAACAGGAAATAGGACATACTTAGATGTCAGGCTTTTAAGTGTGTAATGGCCCAAGAAAGATGTCTTGGCCCATTGTTGTATGTTATCTTTCCTAATGGCATAACAGTCATCCTTAATAAGGCTATTATTTCTATGTATCCAAATTATTCATCAATATATATATTAGTTACCGCTAAGAAAGAGTTCAATGTTAAGTGGAAAAGGAGCAATAAAGTGATTTTGAATGTCTGTAAATCAAATAGCATTATACTTGGTTCTAACCTTTCTATTTGAAAAACTCGAAATTTAAAGGTTTCTATTAATGGTGTGTTTGTTGACCAAGTTCATGAGACCATTGTACTGTGTATAATCTTAGTAAATTATCCTGGACAGAACATATCAAGATAGTTGCTAAAATAGGAAATGGGATTTCTGGGTTTAAAAGACCAGGCTCAACCAGGTCATTTCATGATTTTAATTATTGCCAATTAATATTGATGAGATTTCTTTTTTAAAAAACCTCTCTAAATGTTATAAAACAGTTAACTCTTATGCTTTTATTATGATGTTTTACATCTGTGTGGAGATTGTAATAGTGCACTGTTAAAGTTTAAAGACCCGTGACCCCAGGAAGAATAGCTGCTTTAGCTAATGAGGATCTTAATAAACTAAACCAAACCTAATTGCTTAAATCTTGTTTGTGCTTGGAGAAAAGAATTTAGTAAATAGTTTACCTTTTCTCTACTTGTATATACAGTCCTTCTTCTATGGAATAGTGTTGCACAGCTGTCCTCAATATGTTTCCTTTTCTCACAGACTGTGTGCTGTGTTAGAGGAAAAAAAAACACTAAAGGCATATTTTTCTTTCTCATATATGACAAATAATGCTAATTCTGTTTTTGTTATGAACTATAAATTCTTACATTTGGAGCTCTTCTTATAAAAAAAAAACCTTTTAAAGTAGTTTTGGCCATTTTTGTAATTGTTATTTTAACCAAAGACCAAGAACAGTTGAGCTGAACAGTCATTCATTTTAAGATAAATCAAGTGGCTTTTTTACCCAGATATGTTTTCTTCTCGTCACAACTATAAATATGACATGTTGTAGATTTAACTGTGAATCGACTTGTAAAATGAGGTCTGCCTTGCAGAACTACAGAAAAGAACAACTGTTTGAATGTTAGTGCTTTAGTATGACTGCTCTAGTAATAAAACTCTTACATCCACGACTCTTTGTAAGAGGTTATTAAAAGTCATTTTTAATTAGCTGTTAAGCCCAGTATACCTTTTGCCAACCTTGACCTAAATGGAAGAGAAACCTGTATGGTTTTACACTATTGATCACTGAAACTGATGCAGTAAAACTACAGGCTGTTGGTACTTTTGAGAGCTTCACCACTGTTAATAATTTAGCACTCAGCACTGATATTTCCGGTTCTCTCTCATGATTTAGAGATTCTGTGGTTAGAAGAAAACTGGTTTATTTCCAAATAGGAGATGAAGCACCATCTAGTGATCTGTGAGGATATTAAAAAAACAAGCGTCGTTGGCTAATGACAATACTATGGTACCTCTGTGTAATGACTATGTAACTAATCATACTATTTAAAGTAGAAAACCTGTGAAAAACATGTCATGATGGTACCTTTCAGGTACACAGAGGCCTATCGTGTTGCTACTTTTAACCTGTAGTCAACAACACAGTGCTTAATAGAGGTAAGATACTACATTGATTAACTGAGCTAATAGGTGCCTGTGAATCAGTGCTACTGGTGCTTGGTTACTCATAGTTTGTATTTTCACAGACCGTTTCACACCTTCATGGATTGAAGCTTGCAGGCAACCTTAGGTGCTGGATGAAACTGATGTCAGTTTCTGTTACCATAGTAGCCCTGCTATCTTTAGAAACCAATCAACAAAGTGTTTGGGTCTTTGTACTATATCTGAAAAGCTCACTCAGTTAAGATTGCTGTTGCACCTTTTCCTTTAATTTCCACTTAAAAGTAAAACGAGAGGAGCCCGTACTTGGGATCAAGACTTACTTTATTCTTTGTGGCACATGAAATGTTTGTGTCGGTGCCAGCGTGTGTGTCAAGGACTGATTCAGAGAGAGCGTGCTCTGATTCAAAGTGCAAAAGCCACACTGCATTTGATTATCACTGCAACGAGTGTGTGGCGATTCCATTATCTCTCACTGGCTGTTTAATAGGATGATGGGACTGCATAGGAACTGTATTTCAGTGTTTTGGATTTTAGAGGATTAAGGGGCTTTCTAAATGCATTAAATAAAGGTGATAAGAAGCTTGGGCCTTCAAACTGTCACTTTTTAAATGTGATTGGCTGATTTTTTTCATTTCAGGCTTACAACTTGAAAATACAAAGTCAGTCCACTGATTTTCAGCTCCAGATGTCTGTCTGTTTGCTTTTCTTTGCCATCCTCTCTTTCTAACCCCTCAACCAGTCACAGCAGATGGCTGCCTCTCCCCGAACAGGGTTCTTCCAGAGGTCTCGTTCTGTTAAGACTGAGCTCTTTTTTCCTAAGTGCTTGCTAAAAGGGGAACTTTTAGAGAGAGCTTTTCTCTCTAATATTTACCTACATCTTTACCTACAATATGAAGCTCACTAAGATAACTGCAGTTTTGAACTGATGTTACATAAATAAAACTAAACTGAGTCAATGTCTGCACGGTATTGGGTCTTAGGGTCTATAAAAAAAAAATCCGCTGACTTGGCTGGTTAAGACAATCTTTTCCTTATCCTATTTAGAGCATCTGGTTAAAACCAGATTGGTTTCACAACATGTGCCAAACAGAACTCTATAACTAAAACCTTTGGTTACGGTACAAATAACAATTACAATTCCAGAACTGTTGATATTTGCAAAGTGAAAACAAATAATGATCATTAACCAGCACCATGAGTCATTTAGCTTATTAATAGTCAAGAGAGCTGCAACTTTTGGAAATAACAAAAGATGACATATACATTGCTTTCATATGCTTAGCACATGGGTTCCTGCTGTTCATCTTCAAGATACAGCCTGTTATCATTTCCTTGTAACAGTTGTGGGATTTTACATTTTCCACATCTGAGACATTTCCCAGACAATCGTTTCCTGTGCTCTGTTATATATGTGAAGTTGTTTTTAAGACGCTTCTGTTAACATGCCAGTGCGAGTTTCCTGTTGTCCTGTTACTACTTGTGTTACAGCACTTAAGTGTTGCCTCGAGACTCCATTCTTTGTAGCCTTAAAAAATACCACGGCTCCACTATGAAAACATCTGACAAGTGAATAGTAGGTGCAAAGACCTGAAAACAAGAGCTGAACTTCAAAGACTACAAAAATAGTTTTCTGCTAAACAGGAAGATACTTTCAGATACTTCTGTATCTCAATATTTACTCCTCCTCGAATGTAAAAGTAATCATGGGCAATATTATCCATGTCCAACAGCACTGTGAGCCTCGGTGCTTGTACTCCCACAGCCACAAGGTGGAGCAAATAGCATTCTGAAAGATTTACACAATCCTAGTTCTGGAATTTGTTCAGAGCAGAGATTATGTAATGTCCCTTTGTTTGTACTCCAAATAAAGGACACTTTTATAGGCAAAATACATTTGAACTATTCATCCCAAGTATCCCATCTGTTCAATATCTATATCTATCATGCAACACTCAGCTTCAAAGCACTAGACACAAACTGAAATATTTTGCATCTGTGCACTGAGAATGTGTGCTGAGCCTTCAAATCTTCGTTTGAATCGGTGTGCAGATGCAATACAACACAACAGATTTTTGGATACAACTTTTTCCATAAAGTGAAAGCATAAACTCATAAAGGGACTTTTAGAATCACTCTTATATGGCTAAAACATGTTTATGGAAATTATTTTGTGGCAAATGTGCACATTCAAATTTAGACAAGGAATCAAAAAGGTTAATTTGAAAAAATGGTAAAACTGCTAACAATCAAAAATTGTCTCGCTATTTTAAAAATGCTTTTCCTTGATCAGTTAATATTAAAAAAAAAAGATTGCAATCCTTGATTATAAATGGTAAAGCCCAGTGTATGTTTTAAGTCATATGGGGTTTTTTTTTAAGTGCTGGGTGGTCCATGCATGTACAAAAAAAATTGCCATCCTCCTAGGGTGGGTGAGACTTGTGGAATATAAACTCCTGCTCTCCGTCTGCTCCCACTACTCTGGGTCTGGGTGGGCTAGCGAAGGAATCAGGGATGAAGCTCCTTTTTGTGGTTGCCTGTGCACTTTTTGTGCTCTGTACATTTGATAATGCTGACTCCTCAGCTTATGACAAAATTGTTGCCCACAGCAGGATCAGAGCCAGAAAAGAAGGGTAAGCTCATCTATATATATTGTTTTGCTCTTTTTTGTGCATGCATGAACATTGAACAGTTGTTATCATTTCTGCACATTTGTATATTGTATAACTCTATAAGTTCCAACTATTTCAACAATATTAATTGTGTATTGTTTTTGAAGGGTATCTAAAATCTTGCATTTCACTTAGGACATGTTTAATCCAGCATGTGTCGTTATCACTATTCATATTTAACTGTCTGGCTTCAAAAGCAGCAGTAGTATTTGCCAAATAATTATTCATGCTTGACGGCCTGATGTCTTATCCATCTGGGCTGTTAAATAATCCTTTACACGTGAATAATTTCATAGATTCCTACTGATGTTTTACTTGCTGACTAATTCTTCATCACATTTTTTGGTATAAATTCTCATTTAGACCCAATGTCTGCGCCCTCCAGCAAGTCATGGGAACCAAGAAGAAATACTTTAGCACTTGCCGTAACTGGTACAGAGGGTCCATCTGTGGAAAGAAAGCGTGAGTGCTTGTTTTGTGTATCCAACAGGAAAAACTGTACCTCCAGTTCAAACAAATACATTCACTCAGCAGTTATGTGGGCTTACTGTTCTCTTTATTTTCTTTTCCCATTTCTTCTACTCCACCCCCACTCAACTCCCTCACCCCACCCCCTCCAACATGCGCATGCAAACACACACACACACACACACACACACATCACCCCCTGCCCTCATTTTTCATGGAAACTCGGATGTTTCCACAGAGATAGACATCTGTTATCTTACTTTGAATTACATTACCACTTAAAATGAAAAACACATTTATAGATCCAGCCTTTAAACTCTTTCTTTAGAAAACAGTCCAGTTTGATCCTAAACTAAAAGTTAGGGTTCTCATAACTTGAGCAGTCGGTTGATGTTGGATGCCACAGTGGTGAACCACTGATTCCAGGATATGATGTGGCTGCAAAATGTTGACTGTATTCTTGAATGGAAAAGGTTAGCTCAGCCATTATAAGAAACCTCTTTATTGGTTTTATTCCAGCAATCTCAGCAGTTTTAGTTTAAACATGAATCAAGTTTGTGGCTATTAACAGACCCTTTTACTCTTTTTCTTCCTGTCACACACATATACATACATACAGCACTCACACTGAGTTTGCCCTCAGTGCTTGACTGAGTCATGCTTTGCACTCTAAATAGGCTCAGTTCTTCATGATGAATACCCTCTGCTCACTGAAATCGGCAAATGATAAGGTTGAAAACAGTCAAAATATTGTGTTTTAGCGGAAGTCTGACAAGAAACTATATAATCAATGAAAAGTTGGATGGGCTAAAGCTGCAGTTAAAGCTGACTGGTTTACTCATTTAAACCTGTTACAGTCTTCTAAATTAAATAAGTCAACTTCAGTTTGAGTTAGACTTTTCTCCCATAGAAGAGAACTAGATAATCTGGTCGAATATAAATAAATTGAGCTTCTTCTTTTTTTAAAGTACGAGTTACATGATTGAGGAGGCCAAGTCTCTTGGATCCATTAACTGCATCCGATTTTATTACCTTCTCCAACCAAGCCTGTTGCTCCTCCCATCATTCCTCCTACCCTGTCTTCCATAAATCCCCCAGATGTTAGTAGTCCTCCAGCATTAGAGCAAAACATTTATGTCAGTTATAACTTTCAGAAGTGCTTTATTAAAACTGCAAAATGATTTTGTTTACCAGCTCTAAATTTTGCTTGTAGGTGAGAACATGTGCGTTTTAAGCTAAAATGTCACCAGTGCCTTTTGTGATCATTTGAAGAACTTCAGGGTAACTAGCTCACCAAGATAATCAAAGACAGTGAGACCTGAATAGAACTTTTCCATTTATGGCAGTTGGTGCTCAGCCTAACTTTATCTAGCCAGTCAAAGTGTTTGTCTTCACCCTCTGAGAGAATATTCTCTGCCAGAGCAGGTCCGCCTCTAAAGAAGCTTTATATTAACAAACCTTCAGAATCCAGGCTAAAAGAAATTTGGTGGGTTTAATTGAAATTACGCTTCATGGACGATACAAAACGACAAATTTTTGTGTCGTCCATGAAGTACTTACATTACTTTTGAAGAGATGCTGATAAATCAAAAGTTTCCAATTCCGTAGCCAGACACATTTCCACAGTGTGGGAAAGCAATGTTACGAGGGTTTTGCTGACTCTGCCTCAATGGGGCTCGTGTGATCTCATCCCAATCCCTGCAACTCTGATGCAGACCAAGAAGCATTGGTCTGTTGGCTGAAACATAATAATCAGATAAGAGCAACAGTAAAGTAAAGTCCAGACTATAAATCATCATCTTACATGCAATTCATCTTGTCACCATGTTGTATAATGTTTCTCACATGTATCCCTTAAAAGCCATAAAACTTGTGTAAATTCAGTCTTTATTGTCTAAATTTTCCTAAACTGTTCTAAACTATTAATGGCAGATTTGACATGCATTTGTCACAGGAATACTGTTGATAGAAATGAACTGCTAAACTTTTGTACTTTAACATCCTTTTTCCTTTAGTTTATTTTTCTTGTATTTGGAATCGGTGTATGCATTGCCAAAAGCAATACTACTTGTTACTATAAACTAACTGCCATGACTTGGAAAAGAAGCAGTTTTCCTACTGTTAGTGTTTATTTTTTCTGACAATTAAAACTGGGCAGTTTACCTCAATGATCTCCCCTGCCAACTCTTGGTGCATATGGCATTGTTTATTCCTCATAGCTATGTCTCTGATGTTTTCATCATCTTGGGAGTCTTTTTACTGTTGAATACTCATTAGGTATTTGCGGTAAAGTAGATATATTCAAATGTCCAGTTTTCCCACAGGAAGAGATAATCCTATAGCTTCAGCATGGTCGAACCTGCTGATGTAAGACATTTTTATGTTGTGCAGCTGCACTTTGAATTTTACTGGTCTTTTCAGGCTATGATCTCAGGCATTTTGGAGAACATGCCGCTGCTCTTCATATGTGTGTCCAACAGCAAATAAAAATGTGTCAAAACATAAATCAAAATGACCATTCTCTCAGTATAAAAGTCTGTTTCAAAAACGTGTATGCTGGCGTCCAGATTAGCTAAACTAAGTCCATCAAATCCATTTTTTATGTTAACCAACATTTTGTAATCTCAGATATAATTACTGATCAGACTTTCAAGACAGACATCTTAATATAAATGTCACATAGAGTTCAGACTAATTCTGTAGCTTAAAAGAGGAGGCCTTGGTGATATAAATCTACTACTGTAATGCTAGCATGAACACAATTAGGTTTTGGCAAAAGCCTTTGGATCACATGGTCTGTTTGGGTAATGCAGAGAATAATGGGTTACATCTGGAAACACTGAAGAAAACAGAAAATCACAGAATGATGATTCAACTAAAAACATAGCAGCAAGAAAAAATACTTTCTTACATGTATTATTATGACTGGTATCTCAAACGTATGTGCAAATCCATATTTTTGATGTGTGTGTTTTTTTCCTGCAGGACTGTGATTTATGAGTGCTGCCCAGGGTATATGAAAATGGATGGCATGCTTGGCTGCCCTGCAGGTATGGCCTGTACTGTTTTGTAGAACAGTTGTAGAACAGCTGTGTTTTAGCTTTGAGATCAGACCAAATAAACTAGAAGCAAGTGCCACAGCATATTGTTGACACGTTTTTTTCCAATCGATCAGTTCAAAGATTGTGTCTTATTTCTGTTTTCAAAAACAACGCTCGACCCTTATTGTGATTTTTTTTCTTTCTTAGTTGCCCCGATTGACCACGTGTATGGCAGTTTGTCTATAGTGAAGGCCTCATCAACCCAAAACTACGCTGACATTTCCAAGCTAAGACCTGAGATTGAGGGACCAGGATCTTTCACCTTCTTTGCTCCCAGCAATGAGGCTTGGGATAATTTGGATACGGTGAGTCAGTACAAAACAAAAAGCTCTGGAAGATCTCCGTCTTTGAGATTTTAACAACTAATTTTTTTCATCTAACAGACAGTGAGGGATGCACTGGTCAGCAACGTCAATATTGAACTATACAACGCTCTTCATTATCATATGGTCAACAAGCGCCTCCTGACCAAAGACTTAAAGAATGGAATAAAAGTCACCTCCATGTACAACGACCTTGATCTCCATATTAACCATTACTCCAATGGGGTGTGTACTCAGTGTTATTTTAACATGTTAGATTAACCATTTGTCAGGGGTATTACACTGAAACAGATGTCGTGTACAGATAGTGACTGTGAACTGCGCCAGGATCATCTACGCCAACCAGATCGCCACAAATGGAGTCGTGCATGTCATCGACCGCGTCATCAGTGCTATTGGAAACACTATTCAAGATGTCATTGAAGTTAACGATGACTTGACAACCCTGAGTGTGAGTACAAGCTTTGGTAGGAGAAAAATGATTAACAACTAAAACTGCAAACCCTGCTGTTAAAGACTTATTGATGTAATACAAGACACTTACAATTACTATTATACAATTATAATGTGAATATTTTCTTTGTATGCTGCTTTGCAGTATAATGAAGTTCACTAAATATAATATTGATGGTGAAATAATCTTCTAGGATCTATTTCAAAATTCTGAGCTTTTGGAGAAACTGGGTCAGCCAGGACATTACACTCTTTTTGCCCCGACCAATGAAGCCTTTGAGCAGCTCGGCATCGATGTGCTGGAAAGAATTCAGAGTGACAAGCAGGCCCTCAAAGGTAAATCAGACTTCTTCAAAGGCTTATTTTTAGTGTTAAGTTAATTGTAGCAGAACGATGTTTACTGATGGAAGTACTGGAAAAGAAATGTAGTGGTTGCTGGGAGTATGGTTGCGCATTGAGCTTCTTCCAATTCAAAACAGATGAAGCCACAATAGATCTGGAGCTTATTTAGCTTTAAAAACTAACTTGAACCAAAAAAATCTTTCTTCTTTCAAGCCAAGCATTAAATTGTGAGTTTGAAAACATATGATGTAACACATAATTTGACATTTTTATGGCCTTTTTTTTACTGCTATATGTATCTTCATAATACTCGTATAATTATCAGTAATATTTGTTGTTGTTTAAAGTGCTGAGATATACATTGTGATTTCTTAAAGAATCAGAATTCAGAATTTCTAAAAGGCTTTCAAGGTAATTAATTATCAATCTAAGCACCAAGAGATAGTAAAAAGTTGTACTTCATCTGTATTTCCTCATGTATATTTGCTGTGCCGTGCTCAGATCAGAACAGTTCCCCACACTAGAGGACCACTGGGATCTAAAGGATATGCAGGTTTCTTGGATATAACCTCCTTGACTTTGGTATAACAAAGGAAAAAACATTAATGTCCCAGTGTATCAGACAAACATCTACTTACACAACTAAATCATATATTAACTCAAATATTTTATTTATTTATTTATTTATTTATTTATTTATTGTTGTTTCAGCTCTTCTGTCTTTCCACCTCCTGGACTCAATCCAGTGCTCTGAGGGTATCCTGGCTGGCACCTCTTATGAGACACTGGAGGGCAACAACATTGAAATTGGCTGTGATGGCGAAAGCTTGACAGTCAATGGCATTAAAATGGTGCGTCAGAAGGACATTGTCACCACCAATGGTGTCATCCACATTATTGACAAAGCACTTGTTCCAGACTCAGGTTAGAGCACCTCTTTGCTTCCTATTCAGGCATGCCTTGTTTATTACGCAATATGTATATCGAAGAATATGTAAATATTTTTTCTATAGTTCATATTCTAAAACCGTCAGGATTTCCTTTACCTCTTTAAGCTAAGCAGGTAATGGAACTGTTGGGAAGTTCCCAGTCAACCTTCAGTGACATGGTGTCTGAGCTGGGCCTTTCTAGTGGCATGAGATCAGATGCAGAGTACACTTTACTGGCTCCATTCAACAGTGTCTTTAGTGGTGAGTCATATACTCCTCATTATACCGCTTGCACTTCCTCTCTTATCCACTCAGCAGGTGGCAATGTCGATTTTTTAAAAATGCTTCAGGGAATTCATGCAAAATCTTAATGTCATATGTGGAAAAAGTAGCCGCTATGCTTCTCATGTTTTAAGAAACAATTAATTGTAGTCAGCTAGGGAAAAATTGTATCTTATTTATATTGATAATCTTTTGTCAGTGGATGTAAAGAATTCCACAATAAGAAAATCTAAAAGTGACTGTTATCAATTAATGTTGTCACATTTATTCTGTGCATTTATCTATTTATTGTCTATCTTGACATAAGACACGTCCAAGAAAATCAGGAAAACTGTGACAGATGATGATGTTTCTTGCTCAATCCATAAAATTTCCCTCTGTCTGTCTGTGAACATGGACCTACAGAGCATTTATCGTCATTTGTAGGACACTATTTGTGGTTTATCTGCAGAACTGCCAGGTCAATGAGTACAGAGTCGACTTTGGTCAAAATATGTCTGTTACTGCTTTAGGGTAATGGTAGTCAAAGTAGTAAGAATACAGTTTTTTGAAGCCAGTGCTTTAAATGTAAATGTATTTTTTTCCTGGTGTAATTAATTTTAAATGAGAATCATAAAACTGTTTCTTTCCTCTGCAGATGAAATAATGTCCATGGATCAGGACTTACTCAAAATTATCCTGGAGAACCACATCTTGAAGAATAAGATTGTTCTGGGACAGCTGTACAATGGCCAGCAGCTGGAGACCATCGGAGGGAAACTTCTTCGGGTCTTCATCTATCGTTCAGTGAGTACTCTTCTCTAAAGATTTGCCCAGTAGTTATAGCTGGAGGCCATTAAAGACTTGTTATAGGCAATAGCCTCAATCAATCTTCAAATCTTTGAGATTTCAAGTTTATTCTCTTTTATTCAACTTGTTTCACATCTGCAGGCTGTGTGCATCGAGAATTCCTGCCTGATACGAGGCAGTAAAGAAGGAAGCAATGGGGCCCTTCATCTCATGAGGACTCTGTTGAAACCTGCAGAAAAAACTATGTATGAGATTCTGACAGAAAACGGAGGGTTCAAGTAAGTACAATGGTAATATAAATGGACTGTGGTCTTAAAAACCAGTATAATACTCAAACCACATCTTGACAATCATTACATTAAATCCACATGGCACATATGGGAATGGGAAAGTGCTGTTGCTGCAATATGTCATCCCTTAGAGGCGTCTACAACAGCCAAGTTACAGTTTTCTTCTCTGCTCTTTAGGATCTTTTTGTCTCTGATGGAAGCTGCTGGCTTGACTGACGTGCTTCGACAGGAGGGAGGCTTTACTCTGTTTGCCCCAAGCGACAAGGCTTTTGCAGGTTTAAGTGAAAGAGACATGGCTGTGTTGAAGAGTAAGTTTACAAGACATTTTTGTCTATTTATTTGTTGGGCAGTAAAAGTCTAGTTAGAAATGCAAAATACAATAATAGCTTATGTGTGTGTCTTTGCTTTATTTCAGAGGACATAAATGCACTCAGAACCATCCTTCTGTATCACATCAATAATGGTATCTTCATTGGCGGTGGTTTGGAGCCTGGGGTGACAAACCTTCTCAAGTCCCTCCAGGGCAGCAACCTTAAAATTGTAGTTGTAGGTATTTTGTGCATCCAGATGGAAACTATATATCTTAATCTATTAAACCTTATACTTCAGATAAATCCCTTTTTTTTCTTTTTCTTTTTTAAATTTAATCGTAAAGAGTTAAGTATTCAGTAAAACTGTTTTATATGGTAGTGTTCATGAATATTGTCTGATTAAAAGTCACTTTGAAACTCAGTGACTCCAGTAAGCTAATGATATTTAATGTGGGACAGAGATTATTCTTCATATTTTAGTATGTGGTTTCATTCACACCCAACACTTTGTGGTTTTCTTGTCTGTAACTGTTTGAAATGGTTGTCCTCAGGCAAACAACACTGTGAAGGTTAATTCTGTTCAAGTCCCTGAGGCTGATATGATGGCCACAAATGGAGTCATTCACTTTGTCAACAAGCTGTTGTATCCTGAAGGTAAAACTTTCATCCAGTTATTGTCTTATAAATCTGTCAAGAAACGTGATAACTGTAAATACTTAATTGCGGTCAACGCCCTGTGCTGTCTTGTAGAAATCCCTATTGGATCCCAGGAACTCCAGATGGTTCTGACGAAGCTCATCTCTTATATTCAATTTAAGGTTAATTTGTTTTTTGTTTTTAAAGTTCCCGAGATGTTGGGTTGGGTCTAGTTTGCAGTTTTTTTATTCTTTATTTAAGTCGTAACAAAATTGTTATAATTCCATGTAAAGTATAAGAAATAGAACATACAATGAAGATTATGCTAGTGGTTATTTTAGTAAAATGGTTCTGATTGAACATTATTGTTGTTAATTATTTATATTTTTCAGCTGAGCTGAGCAATTATATGCTTTATTATGCAGCATAGACATTTAATATGCTTTAACAATTGTATTTACTTTTTTACAGTACATTTCTGGATTCAGATATCAGGAAATCCCCCTTACATTTTTGAGTAAGTAGTTTGCATGTTTCACTGTCATTAATAACTCTGTATTTCCTGTTGTTATTATAGAGGACTGTCACTTGTGTCATTCAGGAAAGTATAGTAATGGTGATTAAAGAATATCAACATCATTTGATTCCTAATCAGTGAAGTATGACCAGTTATATTTAATAAAACTGTTGCAAGCACAAAACTGAGGAATTTCAAAAGACCAGTGGAAAAAAATAAAAACAATATATTCCTCATCTAATGACAACTGTAATATTTGATTATGACTGCTGATCTAGCTACCACATTCTGCTAACTGTTCAATGCCCCCATCCTGAGGCACTCACACAATACCTGTCAATGCCTGAGAAGAAAAAAAAACATTAGGCAGTTAGCTAAGATTAGCATTCATTAATCCATTGACATTTCTTCTTTCCACTTGCCATAAATTGTTTGGTATCACTCCATTTCCATTAAGGTAGTCAAGATGGTGAACAGTGAGGGCAGGGAGGGTACAGTGTACATTAAAAACTATGGGAATCTTTATGAGATTACCAACCAGGAATTCACAGTGCACTTTATGTAGCCAAACTTGTCAGTTTACATGCAGTCATGCACTGAAAGCTAGTTAATTACAAATTTTGAAACACAGTATTTAGATATCACTGACATAATAGTCACATGTATTTAAAATAAAGCTGTGCTAAAGCAAATCATAAAGCTGTAGAAAATTATAACACAATTGTATTAGTAGATATCCTTTGATTAGGAATCGCCTTTTCTTTCATGGAAATTTTTCACTGAAACTATTTTTTGTGTGTGTTGGCTGTACAGAAGTTGATCAGTATACAATGCTGTGCACTCTTGATTTCAGTGTAGTAAAACATGGCTTCTTTGCTTTTTTACACTTCCTGGGGTAAAAGAAGTGACAAGGGTCATTCAAAGGGAACCCATCAAAAAAACGGTTACCAGGGTGATTGAAAAGCAGAAACCCATCCAAAAGGTTACCAGGGTGATTGAAACGCAGAACCCCGTCCAAAAGGTTACCAGGGTGATTGAAAGGCAGAACCCCGTCCAAAAGGTTACCAGGGTTGTCTCTGGTAAGTATTTCTTAAGTGTAAAACACAATCATATGACTTGATATTAAGAACTCACAAATGTTGTTGTTTCCAGGGCCTCAATACTCAGTCAGCACTGGTACCAGCAACATTGATCTGGAAGGTCAGTGAAATGCTTTGGAAACTTAAAAATAAGGATTGTTTGTGTGATTATTAATTAATAATATTAATAAATTATTGTTAGATTTGATTTTAGATTAGATTAGAGCTCTCTGAATTTAGCTATCACAAATAAAATAATATAGAATATAATAAAGATAATTTATACACACATCATAGGTGACTTTTAAATACATATAATAGACTTTAAATCTTATTAAACAGTATTTAGTTAGAATTTATGTGTTATTACGCTTATCTAATGTATTTTTTGCCAAATATTCTAGCATCACTTTAAAGATACTTTCATTTTTCCATCAGGAGTCGATCTTTCAGAAGTTTCCACCATTGAAGCGAGCGATCTTGACACATCAAGGCTTACCAAAATAATCCAAAGTGAGTTTTTTTTCCCCAAGTCTCTAGGAAGTGGAAAGCAGGAAAATAATTCAGAAATAATGTGTGATTTGTGTGTTTGTTTTGCCTTTATAGAAGGCAGTTCCAGAGGAAATAATCCCAGAAGAGTTATAGGTAAAAAATAAAGAAAGAAAGAAGAAGAAGAAGGAAAAAGAAATAGAAAGAAAGACAGAGAGAAATGAGACCTGGAATTGTAATTAATGCAGCACAGTGTGAGATAGTTTAGACTGTCACTTTAAGACTTTGGCTTCAATTATGCTCCATTCTCTTCCTGTACCATATGTCCAACACATCCCTGCTATCACTTTGGTACCTACAGGAATAGCTTGACATTTTGGGAAATCTGCTTACACTACTCACTCTTTGTTGAGAGTTTGATAAGAAAACTGATAACACTCTCATTTATGGATTGAGAGAGCCAGCAGCCCATTAGCTTAGTTCAACACAGACAGAAGAGATGGCTGGCAATCACACTGTAATGCCAAGAAAATATAGTCCTGCACAAAGCCTTCTGTAAAACCACGTGCTGTTTCAGAATACCGATTTTTTATAGATTAAACAGATGACAAATCATTAACTGGTGCTGGTACAGACCCAGGCTAGTTATTTCCGGGTTTGTGCTTAGTTAAGCCAGCTGCTATAGCTTCATTTTTGTCTTGTGCATACAGTAATGGTATCAGTCTTCTCATCTAACTTTCAACAAGAAAGATGCAAATACAATTCCCCAAAAATCAACATTCCTTTATTCCAGCTGCAGTCTCTTTGCTCATCTGCTGTCATGCTTGCTGCCACAATGCTCTCCTCAAAAGCTATGCAGAAATGTGTTGCTTCAGTGGCTGTTATACAACATTTTGTGAGACCCACATCCAGTCAGCATCCATCTGTATAGTTTCTGAGACTATACACTTCCCAAGAGGGGAAGTCATCATCATCACTCCTGCTCCATGTGCTTGATGTTTCCATCTGGGCAGTGATGAGAGTTTGGATGCCAAACTTCAGCACAGTATATCTTTTAGACTTCGACAACAATCTAATCCACACGACTGACAAATATTTATTGATCTCTTTTTTCCAGCTGGCAGCAGGAGGAGGGGAAGGGACTGAGCACAAGCTGATGAGAACACCTCCTGGCTAAAAGCCGAAAGAGACGTCAAACCCAGATTTTAAAGTTGGTGTTTTAATACAAGGGCTGTGCCTAAAATTCATACTGTAATAGGTATACCTGACAAAAAAAACTACTCTCATAAACACTTTAATGGTGCTTTGAATGTATATAAAGCAAGTTCACATGAATATTTCAGCATGATTTTAAATACACAGAAAGTCAAAGCAGCTATAGGATAGTCTGAATGCATTCATTCATTAGATTTACAATAAAATACTTCAATTTTGAGCTTCTCTATGACTTTGCTTAACGCAAAGAGGTTAAAAGCTGCCTGAAAAATTTCAAAATCTAAGCATGATAAAGATAAAAAAAAAAAAAAAAAAAAACATGTTTTCTGACTTTAACTGTATTTTTTTTCTCTGTATATTGTTTAAATTGTAATGTAAATTTGTCTCTCTCTCTATCATTTGGAATGATGTAGCTGAATGCTTTTGGCTTTGCCTTCTATTTTCCAAACATCTTCCAATAAAAAGCTTTTGTTGAGATAAATATGCCTGTTTGAACAGGGCATTAGTGGAGATTGTGTCATTTTGAAGTCTTTGCAAAATTCTTAAATGGTAAGTTTTGTTTCATTGAGATGTTAAAACTAAATTTGTGCTTGGAAAAAAATTCTTTACTCCACAAAAGTTTGACCATAATATTAAAGTGAAAACAGTACACAAATAACATAACTTTTTTTAAGTATGCTAATTCTGCTTTTGTTAGCCTGTTAAATGTTTAACATTATGATGGTCCTACTCAGAGAAAAATGTATAGCTTTGAAAATGTTTTGCCACTTGATATAGGATTTTATCTAGTGAGTAACTGCAAGCTTCTTTTGTTATTTTAATTTTATAATGTGCCAGCTGTTTTCAATGAGTGACATATCCAGACACAGGACCAACAGATTAGCACCTTTATTAGAGTCATGCTCCTCTATATGCTTGTATTATGGCAGTATGGGTAGCAGCATTTCTTCTACCAAAATTTGATTGTTGTTCAGCTTTAATGCTTTTCATACATTTTGGAAATGCTACTAAGCAGTGATTTCAAAAATATTTACACAAATTATGCCATAATGTAATGTACTCAATTATAGCCATTTGATGGCGTTTTTCACATTTGTGACTGTTGCTGACCCTTTGCCAAATTAACTTTATTAAATGTGAGATTGCCTGTGGATGTGTGCTTTATATTTACTTAACTTTTCCAGTATTTTTTCGAAAATATTTTGCTCACTATAAATTCATAGTAGTATTTTTTAGTTTAATAGTGACCTAAAAGAGGGTTTAAAAGAGTTGTAAAGTCAGTCCAACTCATTGGAAACAGAACTGTAGATACCAAAACCTATGAGTCATTCCTTTCAGTGGTTTAGCCATGCATCTGCCAGTTTAAAAGGATCCAGGCAGTTTGGATTCTGTACAAAATAAACATCAAAATTGGTTTTAAAAAATAACTGCATTATCCTCATTTTCAAGAAGAGTCAACTGCCTTTACTCATAAAAAAAAAGTCTAACTAAAAAACTACAAATAATTTATGAAAACTACAAAATATGATGAAAAAATAAATTGTAACATTTGCATCAATTGCAAATTACTTACATTTCATTTCAAAATGCATTGCCGAATTTCATTTGTCAAAAGAATATGTAAGTAACATGTGTTTTTTTATGTGTGAATGCAGCTGAGATACTTCCCTGAGGTTACAGGGACATTATGTTTGCTGTTATGTACAGATATTTGGGTCAGCACCAGCTTCTGCATTATTGTTTCATGAGAAAAATTCCTCAGTGCAGTTTATGGCTTCTTGGATACACTAAAACGGTTTAAAACCTCAAGCAGCCAAGAAACTTTTGCAACACACAAAACAGACATGGCAAAATATAAAACGTTTTGTTTTTTTTCTTATCTGTTATTTCACATCAGAAATCATTTACAGGAATCGTCAACAAGCTTTGGTGATCCAGGCAGCTGGTTCACATGGGCTGATATGATGAAATCATACAAATAATCAGTGTTTTGCCATTTATATGTTGTTTTCCCCAAAACATCCCTAATGACAGCCCACGTGACGCATCACAACTGCTCATGCAGTCAGTAGCTTGTGGAAAATCAAAAATAATATTTGTCTACCAAGCAAAGAAGCACAAATAATATCTTAGTATTTTCTGTAGAGCGAGACCTGCACCATATGGCCTAAAACCTGCTCACATCTGTACTCTGTGGCTGTTTTAACAAGTAATGAACTGTCAAAAGCTCAATTGCATTGAAGTAGAACTGTGAGGCAACTTTTTATACCTCTAATTATAGATGACAGGTTTCATTACTGAATATTTGACAGGATTGCTTGCACTATAGAAGCTGCTCACTTGTGTCGGCTTGCTACATTTTTCTTACCTAATAGAAATTAAACACATTTTTAGTTCACATTGTTGATGCTGTTTCTTTCAGCATATTGAAAGAAATACAAAGCACCTTCATTTTCTGTTTGATAAGTTTGTGTTATTTACAAAGGGATTAAAACTGAATGTCTCAAATTCAGCAGTGCTGAAACATACCTCTGCAGCACATTTTAGGTACCGTGTGGGATTATGTTGATATTATCTTCATGGATTTCAGCCATAAAAAAGAAACCATTTATTTTTTACATCTAAAATAAAAAACATTAAAAAAAACATTTTATCTATTTCTATTTTATCTAGAAAGTGTAACCTACAGTAACATGCAAACCTAGCTACAGATAAAGTTTAATACATTCTGCAGTCAGACTCACAGTGGGCACTATTTTATACATTTACAACTTCTTCTGAAAACATCTGGTGCGGGATCATGTTACTTTTCCATTTGCCTTGTGATTTTCCATGCTCTCTTCAGCAGCGATCTACCAATCAATTATTTGGTCATTTATAAGACCGTTCTTGTCAATAACAACAGTCTCCAATTTCACTTGACTTAGTACAACAGTTTCCACTGCTCATCACCAAAAAGCAACTGTCTTCTCATCTATAAACAAAACAACAGAGTTGGCAAATGCATGTGCAGCATCCCTTTAATAAGCTTTCAGACACTTGTACCTAGTTTTGTTGTGTTGACTTTTATCAGATTCTCCTAATAACATGGGTCATCTGTGCTTGAAATAAACCAGCATTTGAAGGTGCATCAGGCTACAAATTTTGAACACCATTTTTAAACTTTTTTCTTTTTCCGTTGTTTAAAAGTTTTTTCTTTAGCTGTTATTATCATATTTTACTTTACTAATCAGGGCTTATCGATTTTTAATGATCGCAGAACTGCAGAGACATTAGTATTTAAGATGTAACAATAATACAATGAAATGTATATGACAAACCCTATCTGACCAATAAATGTAGAATCTAATGGAAAGTTTCTCTCAGTTTTAACTGATCCCCATCAGCCACTCTACCAAAATAACACTCCAGTCCAGCAAATGTGCATATCAGAGGTTGCCTGGATGCAGCTGCATGAAAGCAGCACTGGCTCCAACAAGCTGTCATATTTCTGGAACACTGGATGTGTTTGATGAAGTTCAACTGCAGCCCCATCGTGTATAGACTTGGCCCTCACAAAGTACAATTTAAAGGTATTCACATGAGATTCCGAGTACAGGTGAGCATTATGTACAAAATACAATCATAGTTTCTTCATTGTGTTTTGCATTTTATTTTATTTTTACCTTGTATGGTCACAAAACTAAGACTATTAAGCCCAACAGTAATGTAGGTCATCTAAGGCTTAGCGCACAGTGACTTATTTTCCATCTTTGCGGTATATTTCATAAAGAAAAGCAGATTCAGAAGTTACATAATCATTCATTCTCTGACAGACAACCAGGAATAATTGCCAAAACAACATAAATTGAGCACAGTTATAATTTTCTGTAAATTTAAATCAGACGGTTTTGTGAGAATCTTTTTCCAAGAGTTTTATTTGCTCTCTTGCTTCACAAGATAGTGTTTTTCTCAAAATGTATGTTACATAAGTATGCTTTTGAGAACTTCCAAACCCACATGTCTTTAATTAGAACTTAGTTTTAATTATCCATAAATTTAAAAACAAAAACAGCTTTAATTTACACAACAACATAGTTATCAGTGTTAATGACATTTCGATGGATCCAATCTTATATTCATGTCTGTTCACAAGCAAATTGTGTTTGATGATGAATGCCAAGGTTTCACATAATACCCTGTCTGGCCAAAAGATGCATGAGAATAACATTATAGTACATTGTAAAAGAACAGATTTCACATAGAATGAACACTTGAAACTTCCATAAATGCCATTGTTTTGTTTCTTTCTCCCCACTTTAATGTAATTCAGCTGCAGGAGTCAGTTCTAAAAGCTTTATCTGCTCATAATTAAATAGCAGACACGCACAGACTAATGAACATAGTTGAATATGTACCACAAGACTTTTAACAATTGGATTCTTAAAGGTTTTTTTAAAGAACTAAATATATTTTAAGAGCTAAGTAATAATGTTAATAAGAAAAAGCCCACAAAAAAGTTTGATATAACTACATCAAATATCAGATGTATAACTATAAGGTAAGGCTATGGTAATGCTAAATGTCCACAAAATCGGGATATTTATTAAGTGCAAAGCAGTAGCTATTTAAATTGTATAACATGAGTTCAAGGAAATATTGTTTCTGGGGAATTACTCATGTTACTAAGGGTGTGCTTTGAAATGTTAAAACTGGATACAAAATGGGCCAATGTCATTCCAAATAGCAACATAGTTTTTCACTTGGCCCAAAGACATTGCACTTTTGAACTGAATGAGGAAAAATCTGGCACTGAACACTCACAGATGTCTTGGTTAAAGAAATCCCCTCGAATATAATTACACAAATCTCTTTACACAGAGGCAATAACATTAGAATTTGGCTACAGATGCACCATATACGCACTATACCTGCTTTTATATTTTATTACTGCAAAACACTGCAGTAAAGAGAAAGACTTTAGAAAACTTGAATAAAACATAAAAAAGCAATAAAGGCATAAAAAATTGTCGCCACTGTGGTATCACTCAGTTTTGAGTTTGGCAGTTTGGCTGAAAAGTGTTGATTGCTGTTATCGTTGTTGTCATTTTTAAAGGACATTGACATATGGTAAGATGACAGCTCTCTTGCGGATAAGAAAGAGATCTAAAGAGACTCATAAAAACTGCATAAAACATTAACAAAAACACAGCTACCTGCTCTTGATGATGCATACATATCAAGCTGCCTGCAGAAAGTAGACTGAAAGCTAAAGGCTGCAACTCAACATGCCTATCATCTGTTTAAATGCTTGCCCTCAGGCAAATGTTCTAGGTCCAAAGCAAGCACTACACAATGA